AAATCCAAAGTTAAGCAGGTGCTGGAAAGGGCCACATGCTGGTCCTTAAAAAAATGTCTTTCTGGTTTCTGTAAACCAGAAAGACAGGTGATCAAAGCCAAAGGTTTGTTCATTGTGATTGCCTAAACACTTTAAACAGTTTAAAAGTGGCTTAAGCTCGTAGAAATGTTCAAAAGAGGAAATAAGCTAATTTTGTTTCATTAAGTAGACTGGATGTTGAATTACTAATTTCCTGATTTAAAAGAACATGCAAAATAACTACATTACAACAATAATCATTGAGATATTAATAATTAATTTGAGAAAGTGAACTTTCACTAAATAAATGCAAATATAACAGATAGAACACATGCCATTGAAAGTCCTTTTCCAGATTCTCAAAAAAGTAAAAAAACTTCTGTTAGAGAAGCCACTCACTTGGGCAAACAAGGTTTTACATTGCTCTAAACCATAATCCAATATCATATCAGATTAGCTAATGTTTTAAACATAAAAGTTACCATATATATATATATATAAAAGTTTTAATACATTCTGTCAAATTTAGTTTATAAAAATTCATATTTCTGCATCATTAATCTTGAACAAACTCTCACTGTAAAAGTCTTTACTCATACAATCAATACAAATTACATTGGACAACAAAAAATTTGCTACTGGAGAAAACTCATGATTTGGGGTACTTGATGGTGATGATTTCAAAAATGTAGTCAGAATTTGTCCATTGCCTCTAGATTTTGAGCTATTGTAATATCTCAATATTTTATAAGCACTATGTGAAATAGCATGCAATCAACTCAGTATTATAGATTTATGCTGTGAAATTAAATTTACTTGGACAGTTTAATGGGTAAAAGGCATACATGTATTGGTGTAAAATTACAAGTATATTGTTAACATATGCTATTTGTTCTCGATATAACTGTAGCAAATTGCACCACTTTAGCCTCATTCCGATGATCACCTACTCTGCCAGAGAATCACGAAACCTTTACGTGCTCAGATGGCTAGAAATTTGAAAAGTCGACTGATTGAGCATAAAAGTAGCAGAGTCAAACGCCTCTCACTCATTCAGTTCGTCACTGCACCTCGCTCCACACACAGTCAAAATAAAGTCTGATCTTCTTCCTTGCACCATACCCATGATATAATCAAACTCTGCAAAACTTTGTTTTTCAAAATCTTTTAAACCCTAATTCTCTAAACATAAAGTCTTATATTTTTTAGAAAATCATTTGAAATGCTGGCTGCCTCCAGTTCAAATAGAGTCCAAAAACCACCCCCCAAACAGTTTCTGCTACTTTTGTGGAAAATATATTACAGTTTCAGGTAGGAAAACATCACACAAGGTAAAGGTAGCTCGTTACCACTAATTTGGGTGTAAAACTTGTGAACAAGAAAAATACTGAGCTTCACATGTGTGTTGTACAATTTGTACATCTGGCTTGACACAGTTGCTAAATAAGAAGAGAACAAGTATGCCATTTGCAGTTCCCATGATATGTCATGAGCCCAAATATCATCTAACTGTTATTTTTGATGACTAATGTTTCTGGATATTCAGGCAAAACTACAAAATATGTTAAATATCAAGATATTATAGCTGCAACACAACTGTACCTCATGGGGATGGTCTTCCAGTGCCACATCCACTTGAGAAACAGAAGAATTATCCTGCAAAGAAGACAATGAATCATCTTCATCTAGTAATTCTATTCCTGTGGAACCTCAACATAAACTGCCTCATCTGATCACACAAGACCTAAATGATTTGATTCGTGACTTGTCTTTATCAAAGCAGCATGAGGGAACTTCTTGGTTCTTGTTTACAGCAATGGAATTTATTAACTCCAGAAACAAGAGTTTCAATCTTCCGAAGTTGTCATCAAAGTTTTGCTTCTCACTACAGCATACAAGATACTTCTTGTTTCTGTACAAATGTTGATGCACTAATGGAAGAATTAGGTAATGAACTTCATCCTCAAGAATCGAGACTTTTTATTGACTTATATAAAGTTAAAATAATAAATATACAACATTAAAATCATTTAAAAATAATGACTCTACATGTTTCGACATGTCACACGTCATCTTCAGGACTGAAGTTGCAAGAGATAATTTTCAAATTTTATATTTTCTTAAATATCACGTGACCTGTCTGTAATTTTGCATTTGTGCATAAATATCAGAACAGGTATTAGACAGACATTTGCCGGACCCTTCATCTATATTTAATAATTTATCATTCTTTTTAAATTTCATCAAGCCATAAAGTCATTAAGAGATAATACAGATATTGTTATTTCAAAAGCAAATAAAGAAGGACAAATTGTAGTATTTAATATATGTGACTACATTAAAGATGTAGGAGATTTATTAATTGACGTTACTAATGAAAAACTTAAAAACAATTGTTAAAAACTGTTTAACTTTAACAGATGCAGAGAAGCGTCGACCTATTCCTGTTAATTTTATTACTCTGAGATTTTATGCACTTCCAAAAATACACAAAATGAATGACAGTTTTAGACCAATTGGATCAACTATAGGTACAGCGTCATATGAAACAGCTAAATATATAGCTTAGAAGTATTCCAGTTTTAGAAATAAAAATAAATATACAGTCAAAAATGCTGTAGAATTTGTAGAAAAAATCAATGATATAAAATTGAATAAGGATGATTTATTAGTTGAAGATGCAATTGTTTTGAAAATACGTTGTTCCAAAATAGAACTTCCACAGTTGAAATTCTAGATATAATTAATTTAACAAAGGTGAGTGTTATGAATCAATTCTTTCAGGTTAACAATGTTTTTTATCGACAAAATGGAGGGTTGACAGCGAGATCTCCACTTTCACCATTATTATGTGATTTATATATGAATGCATTTGAAATAAAAGCCATAAATGGTACAAAATGTAAACCAGAGATTTGAATAAGGTATGTAGATGACACATTCTTGGTGTGGAAATATGGTATTGAGGCATTAACAGAATTTGCAAACTATTTGAATAGCATAGAACCTTCTGTACAATTTACTCATGAAATTGAGAAAAATAATAGTTTGCCTTTTGTAGATGTATTGGTAAAAAGGAATGAACAGGGAAATTGTAGAAACATCTACTTACAGGAAACCTTTTTCTGTTCTTATGCCACCACACCAGGAATCATGTCATACAAAAACACAAAAAGTGTTGGCATTTTACAGTTATATTCACAAAAGTTTGAAGATATGTACAAAACAAGATGATTTAAAAAATGAGTTATTACTGATAAAATATATAGCAGTTGAAATAGGATTTAACCTAAGTATTGTAGATAGAGCAGTTAACAAATTCACTAATGTGGCAATAATAGATCAAAGTTTCACATAGAAACCAAGTTATGATAAATTAAAAAGGAATGTTTAGTGTTACCATATATTCCAGGTTTAACTACTGGTTTATTTAAAATTTAAAAAAAACAAATGTTTTAGCTCTATATTTAAACTGATAA